CAACTACATTTTATAAAATAGAAATATCACGTAAGTTTTACTTTCTTGTGACATCTTGAGAGAAGGGTTCATGGCTCAACACTATTGTTCATTATTGAGAGGGGAGTTTAGTTCTGTATTTAGAGACCAGGAATTTGGGGTGTTTCGGAATAGTGAGTATAATAAAATTCTTCTGACAAGGTTATTAAAATGTAGATGTGTTATTGATTTCTTTAAAAAAAAACAACCCAATAGAATACTCAAGCTATTAGTAGTGGGCATCAAGTCATTCTCTGACAACAGCCAACAATATCATGAGAAAAGTCGCTGGTTTGGCTCAGTGGATAGAGCTTTGTCGATCTGCAGACTGAAGTTCTGGGTTCGATTTCGGTCAAGGGCACATGCCCAGGTGGCGGGCTCCATCCCCAGTAGTCGGCCCAAATCCTACAACAAGGCTCTCAGTGCCCCTTCCCTGAGCCTGACACCAACATGGTCATCCTCGGGCGGGCAGTCTGGCTGGCTGGTGGCTATTTCCAATGCTGTGCCAACAGCCCCAGGGCCTGGCGCCGTGTCCATGGGGGCCATGTTGGTTTCAGCCAGTCCCCTGCTTAACGTCCATGCCCTCTCCCCAGATGGAACCAAAGCCAGCAGAGCCCCCCTCTGCTGCAGTGGAAGTGGCCAATGGCACTGAGCAGACCCAGGTGGACAAAACACCAGAGAGGCGGAGCCCACTGAGCACCGAGGAGCTGATGGCCATTGAGGATGAGGACATCCTGGACAAGATGGTACAGCCAGATCCGGTGGGATGGGGGGCGGGGGGGCAGGGGCAGGGCCCAGCAGGCACCAGGTGGGCAATGACCAGGGCTCTATCTGCAGCTGGATCAGACGACGGACTTCCAGGAGCGGAAGCTCATTCGGGCTGCGCTACGTGAGCTCCGACAAAAGAAGAGAGGTAGATAGCCAGCTGCCCCACCAGATCCAGCTGCTCCCTTCCCCAGCTGCTCCCTCACCCTGGAGTCCATTCATGGACACACCAGCTCAGTAACCGCCCTACTCAGCTTCTTCTGTATACCCAGCTGTTCTTTGGCCTCCTTTCCCCAGCTGCTCCCCTCCCTAGCTGCTTGTCGTCCCCCCCACCTCCGTCTCTCCAGTTACTGTCCCCAACCAGTTTCTCTTCTCCTTCCTAGACCACGTTACTCTCTCTCCCAGCTACACCTCCTTAGATCCAATTGCTTCTCTCAGTCCTGTCAACCACTCCTTCCCTGAATCCAGATACTCCTTCTCCCAGCTGCTCCTTTCTCCTTGAGGTCCATTGATGACCACCATAGTCTCCACTCCCACCCAGCTTCCCCTTCTCTGGGCAAAGCTACTACTTCCTCCATGAACCTAGCTATTGTTTCCCTCGGATTCTAGAACCATTTGCTTCTCCAGACACTCTCAGTGACTCCTTCTCTGGGTCTAGCTGCTTCCTCCACGGCCCACTGATGGCCACTCAGCCTCTATCTCCACCCACCGACTTCTTCTTTGGACCTAGTTACCCGTACCTTTGCCACCTTCTCTCCCAACCACTGTTACCCTGGATCAAATCGCTTCTCAGGCACCTCCAATTTCTCCCTCCCTGGATCTAAATATTTCTTCCTCTAGCCCTCTCCTCCCGGTTAAGACCCATTTGAAGGCCCACTCAGCTACGGCCCTCACCCAGTTTCTCCTTCCCTGGACTCTGCTCCTCCCTAGATCTAGATACTCCCTCCAGACTCAGCTACTGAGTTCCCTAGGAACTCCCATTTTCGGATCCAAATACTCCTCCTGTGAGTTCAGCTCTTCCATATTCCCTTGTTTCTTCTTGAGCCCATCACCCCCATCCCACGCCCCCCACTCCCTGCCAAATTATGGCTACTCCCTCACCCCTAGCCACTCCTTTACCTCGTGTCTTCAGTATTTCTAACAAGTTGCCCTCCCCCCCATTTTATGTGCCCTGTGTGCCCCTGCGTGTGTGCTGTGTGGGTGATGGGTGGCCCTTCCGGGCATGCACGGGGCATCCCCTGCCCAGACCAGAGGGACAAGGAGCGGGAACGGCGACTGCAGGAGGCGCGGGCCAGGCCAGCGGAGGCCCGGGGCAACGTGGCCACCGAGACCACCACGCGGCACAGCCATCGGGCAGCCGACGGCTCAGCTGTCAGCACTGTCACCAAGACCGAGCGGCTCGTCCACTCCAGTAAGGAGCCAATCAGGGCTCAGGGCGGGGACACGCCTACCTCCCTGGCCCCTGTGCCGCTCACATCCTTCCTCTTGTCCCTGCCCTTCCAGATGATGGCACACGGACAGCCCGCACCACCACGGTGGAGTCGAGTTTCGTGAGGCGCTCGGAGAGTAAGGCCGCCTGGCGACGCCCTGTGCCTACCTGCCCGCCCGCCTCCTCAGGCTCTTCCTCGAACTCTCTCTTCGTATTTCTGTCTGTGTGTTTCTCTGTCCAGTTGTCACTTTCTCTTCTCTGCCTGTGGCTACTGCCATTTCTCCCAGACCTCCACCCCATCTCTTCACATCCAACCCGGGCCTCACCCTGCTCTTGTTCCCTTTTCTTGCAGATGGTGGTGGCAGCACCGTGGTACAAACCAAGACCTTTTCCTCCTCATCATCCAAGAAGATGGGCAGGTGAGCGCAGGTACCCACCCCCAGACCTCAGAGAAGTCAGCATCACAGGGACCTCACTGCACACCCATTCTACAGAGGGGTAGACTGAGGTGCTGGGAGGTAATAGGCTAGAGTAAGAATCAGACCGCTTCTGCTTGCCTTGTAGTCTCACCTAATCCTCAACTGCACCACAGGGGAGGCCAGAGACTTGTGCTCCGGGTCACACAGCTCTGAGTGGCACCAATAGCACTGAACTATCTGCCACACTGAGCTGCCCGGTGGCACTGCCACTTCCTGGTGTCTGCCGACCACATCCCACGTCACAGAGCACCCGTGAGGGAGGGGGACACCCCTCTATCTATGTTACAGAGATGTCAGGGCTGATAGAAAGCAGGGACAGGAATCAGGAGTCAGGCTGCGAACCAGAGGGGTCCAGGGACTGAGTCAGAGAGACCCGGGTCCCCCAGTTCCTGCGCTGTCCGCCAGGCCCTCTGACATCTGAGGTCTGGGTCCTCCGTTTCCTCATCACTAGTATGAATGAGAAGGGTCCCTCTCTTCTCTTGTAAAGATTTAAGTGGCATATAGGACAGGCTCAATAGACATGCAGTATTCTTTTTTAACCTTCATCTGAGGATATTTTTTCCATTGATTTTTAGAGAGAGTGGAAGGGAGAGAGCGAGAGCGAGAGTGAGAGCGAGAGTGAGAGAGAGAGAGAGAGAAACACCGATGTGAGAGAGACACATTGATTGGTTGCCTCCCGCATGCCCCCAACCAGGGCTGGGAGCCTGCAACCTAGGTACGTGCCTTTGCCGGAATAGAACCCGGGACCCTTCAGTCTGCAGGCCGACATCCTGAACTATTGTTATTGTTACCATTACTATTATGCCGATCATCATTAGTTGATAGTGTCCAAAATCTGAACTCACCTGGAACTTAATACAATCAGCCTTCTCAGAGAACTCCCTGGAGGCCAAGTCTGTTGTAAAGAACTTGGCTCCCATCTTCTGTTTGTTTGCGCCTCAGTGTACTCATCTGTGAAGTGGGTGTGATGAGGAGGCCTCCAGTGTAGGGTATGGCCTGCGACCTGGCAAGTCGGGTTTGAGGCTTGGGAGCACCCTAATAGTTGCCTCCCCATCTCCCAGTATCTTCGACCGTGAGGACGAGACCAGCCCGCGAACCAGCAGCCTGGCTGCGCTGGAGAAACGCCAGGCGGAGAAGAAGAAAGAGCTGATGAAGGCGCAGAGCCTCCCCAAGACCTCCGCCTCCCAGGCACGCAAGGCCATGATTGAGAAGCTGGAAAAGGAGGGCGCTGCGGGGTGAGCAGCAGAAGGCGGAGGGCTGGGGTGGGGCCTGGTAAAACGGGCCATACACGGTGGTGGGCGGGGCCTGGAGGTCAAGAAAGGCAGAGCTGAGGCCCAGTGGGTGGGCTGACGGAAGCGGAAGTGGTCCCCCTATAGTCCTGTGATCCAGATCCTATACTACCCTTCCCTCTCCCCCCCACCCCCCTGCAGCAGCCCTGGCGGACCCCGTGCCGCGGTACAGCGCTCCACCAGCTTTGGGGTGCCCAACGCCAACAGCATCAAGCAGATGTTGCTGGACTGGTGCCGAGCTAAGACGCGTGGCTACGAGGTGAGCCCCGTGAGGCCAGGCCAGGCGGCGGGCGGCATCCCCAGCCTGCAGCTGGGCACCTGCCTCTTGGCAGAACTTTCTCACCGACCTGTACCCTTCGCAGCCACCGTGCTTGGCAGTGAAGATGGGAAGCCCTCTCTTTAGTCTAATGAGATGTGGCAACAAGCTCAGAGAGGGCACAAAACGCGCCCTAGATTCCAGAATGGGCGATTAAGTGGCAGGGCCAGCCCCTAACCCTTGGAGTCCCCTCCTCCTTGCTCTCTCTGGGGGGCAATGGGCAAATTTCCATAAGTAAAGGAAGGAGTGATGGGGACACGGCCTTAGCTGGGCGGTGCTGGGCCTCTTGGTCGCGCTGTTCCTATAAGTAGCAGCCATGCGAGTTGTTGACAGACTAAGTGGGAGGAGGCTCATGTTCCCACTGCTCACCTGCTGTGCAGCCTTGGACAAGCTGCAGGGCCTCTCTGATCTCTAAATGCCAAGATCCTGGGGGTAGAAGGGGCGTGGGGCGGAGGGCGGGGGGGTTGACCGCTCCTCCCACCACCCCGTAGCACGTGGACATCCAGAACTTCTCCTCGAGCTGGAGCGACGGCATGGCCTTCTGTGCGCTGGTGCACAACTTCTTCCCCGAGGCCTTTGACTACGGGCAGCTCAGCCCGCAGAACCGGCGCCAGAACTTTGAGGTGGCCTTCTCCTCCGCCGAGTAAGTGTGGGCCTCAGCCCTGCTGGTGTTGGCTGGGCGTCCGGGGCTGGGCCTCTGGGCCAGGCCTAGTTGCTCCGAGGCCCCTTGAAAGCTGGCCAGCTGCACTGTCAGACAGTGGCTGACCTGGTTCCCCAAGAAGCCCCTGTCCTTCTCCACCCCGCCCACCCGATGCCGAGTGTGCCAGGTGCCCGCCGGAACGAAGGAGCCACAGGCCCGCCTACCAGCCCGGCCAAGGCCCACCAGGTGGCCCTGTCCATAGCCCCTCCGTCCTGCCTCTGCCCCTTCTCCCTTTCTCTGTCCTCCTCTCCTCCCACTATCACCAGAGCTTCCTGCTCCCACGGGATCCCAGCTGGAGATTCCAAAAGGGGGCTCCTGGCCCGGGCACCGTGCCCGCCCAGCCTATATAGGTGTTGCCAGAGGCTTATATAGGAGATCAGCAAGCCCTCCACTTTGGAATCGTTGCCCCGTCTGCTCACCTCACCCTCAGCACCCTCTCCCATCTGTCTTTCTTCTCTGCCTTTCTCTTTCTGGTTCTCCTCTCACGCCTCCCTCACCCCCCCTCCCTGGGGCACAGCCCTCCTCTCCAACCTGGGGCGCCCACGTCATCGCCCCCCACCCCGCGTCCCCGCTTGCCCCAATAGTTCTCTGCACCTGTGACTGGTCTGGCCCCCCACCCCTGTCTGCATCGCACACCATTAGTGACGGGTAGTGAGCGGCACGTCCACGATGGGGTGGGGGCATGCGGGGGGCTGGCAGACTGCGGCACTGAGAATGTAACTGAACTCATGTCTCTGTGTATGTGTGTGTCTCTCTGTTCTACTCCCCTCTCTCTTCTCTGCCTCTCCCCCCCTGGGCCCCCATCTCCCTGCCCCTTCCCGGCCCCCTCCCCTCCCCAGGACCCATGCGGACTGCCCGCAGCTCCTGGACACAGAGGACATGGTGCGGCTTCGAGAGCCCGACTGGAAGTGCGTGTACACGTACATCCAGGAGTTCTACCGCTGTCTGGTCCAGAAGGGGCTGGTAAAAACCAAAAAGTCCTAACCCCTGCTCGGGGGCCCCACGGTGAGAAACGCCTCTTCGCCCGCCCGCCTCGCCCGCCAAAATCTGCCCCATGGGGGCACAGAGAGAGGTCTGGGAGCGGGGTGGTAAAAGCAGGGGGGCCCTGAGAAGCGCCAGAAGGAGCCCTAATTAGGCAGGGGTGACCCAGGTGAGCAGGACTGAGGTGGAGGAGGCACAGGAGGGACCCTGGGGAGGCACCTGGCCCAGCCTGCAGGTCCGGCACAGCTTTCTGAAAAAAGCGCACACGGGGCTGGAATAGGAAGGACAACGTTCAGGCTAAAGGAGGGAAAGGGAGCCCCAGACAACGGGGTGAGCCTATGGCCGGGCTGGGTGCAAGAGATGGAGAGCATGGCCCCCCCCGGGGAAGGAAGGAAGTTTAATCTGGGTGTGCCGGGAAGGTCGGGGCCAAGTCGGGAGAGGAACTTCCTCCTAAGGACCAGAGTCATCTAAGTTTTCCAAACAGAGGAGGGATGTACATGGTCTGGTTGGCATTCTAGAACAATCCTCGAACGGGGGATGGAGAGAAGGGGGTGGACTAGATAGCTGGAGAAGCTTAATGAGAAGTAGAAGGACAGGCTTCTTGATGGGTCCAGTTGGGAGGCAGAAGCGGGGGGGTCAGGGAAGCCTCCCAGGCCTCCAGTTTGGGCACCGGGGACTTGGGGGTGCCATGCTCCATGCTGGGGAGCTCAGGACCTTGGTCCGTTTGACGGGAAGATATTCCTGGTTGGGGTCCTGGATCCCTCAGCCAGCTGCGGCATTTCCTCTCTGGTCACCTCAGCTCAGGGCCACAGTAGAGAATTCCGATCCTGAGCGGACTGCCCATTCCAGACCAGCTCCAAGGGGGAGAGGGGCGGGCTCAGAGAGTCCCAGGGGGCTTAGGCCAGAGCCGGGCCAGAAACTGGAGCTCCTCACCCCTTCGCCCCCCTCCTTAGTGGCTCTTTACCTTGCCCATCACGTTTCCTATCCATTTTGTAAAGAAAAGAGAAGACAGAGACCCAGAGGGAGCAGGGGGATTGGCCGAAGTAACGTGAGTCAGGGACAGAGCTGGAGGTGCACTCAGATGCCCCTCGGGGCCTGGAGCCATTGCGGGGGCGGGGGGGTGCAGCCCACACGTGCACACAGACTCAGAGAAGCTGCGCAGGTGAGGAGAGGATGGGCTTGGTGCTGTCCCCAGGTCATATATGGGCTTGGGAGCTGCTGCCCAGCAGGCTGGCCTGGAAGGAGAGGGGCCAAACCCGGCCAGGATCCAGCTGGAAAGTGTGACTCAGCTGTGTTGTTGCTCAAATTGCCTGGTGTTTGGCCTGTCACTAGGGCAGCTGGAGCCCTGAGCCGTGAGTCCCAGTGTCAACAATGGCTTTATAAGGTCTCCAGGGAAGACACCAGGGGTGGGAAGGAGTTCCACATGGGGGGTGAGGGGGAGGCTGGGATCCCTGGGGAGATAGCCACAGCTGGGAGAAGAGACAGAAAGAGGCTGCCTCCCATCATAGTACAGCTGGGAAAACAAGCCCACTCTGGGGCAGGGCTGACCCCAGGGGCACACAGCGCATCACCCACAGAGTCAGGAACTTCTCACTCATCCTAAGTGCTTCCAAGGTTTCAAATGAGGTCGAGAATGACTATTCCATTGCTATAAAAATGGGGAAACTGAGTCACAGAACAGGGCAGGGCTTTGTCTAGCATCCACAGCTGGTCAGGAATAGAGCCTGGCCGGAAGCAAAGGTCGCCTTCCTCCCAGGCTGCTTCTCAGAGGGAGTGCAGTGAGCTGGGCGCAGGCCTCAGCCCTGCCATGGTCCCAGGTTTGACCTTGAAGACACAAGAAAGGCGGTGTATGGCACCCCCGGGAAAGGAAGTTTAATCTGGGCGTGAGGGGAAGGTGGGGGCCATGGTCCGGAGAGGAACTTCTTCCTCCTAAGGACCAGAGTCATCAAAGTTTTCCAAACAGGAGGGATGTACAGGGTCTGGTTGGCATTCTAGAACAATCCTCGAACGGGGGATGGAGAGCAAGGGGGTGGACTAGATAGCTGGAGAAGCTCAATGAGAAGTAGGACAGGCTTCTTGATGGATCCAGTTGGGGAGGCAGAACGGGGGTGGGGGTCAGGGAAGCCACCCAGGCCTCCAGTTTTAGGCACTGGGGACTTGGGGGTGCCATGCTCCATGCTGGGGAGCTCAGGACCTTGGTGTCTTGGGAACAGGGGCACTTCCTGCCTGTATGCCTTCCCGGCCTAGGGAAACTCACGCAACCCTGGCTGAGTGCTTACTGTATGCCCGGCGTGGCAGATGGGAGGGAGAAAGGCAGAGGCGGACTTGCTCTGGGAGAGGAGGGAAGGGGGAACCAGGGCGCAAACTACAGCCTTAGAGGTTTGAGGCTGTCGGTTGCTTAGTAGCTGCAGCCAACTCACCCCAGAGTAGGGCAAGGGCTCCTGCTGTAAGGAAGAGGGGGCTCCAGGCAGGTGCCAACACCCTGGGCCCCATCAGGCCTAGCCCTGCACTTAATGGGGCTTAAAACAAAGGATTCTCAGTGATTCGGACTCCCTGTCAGTAAAGAGCGCCAACACTCTGGAAGATGGACAGAGGGTGGTCCCGCCCCCTGAGCGTGATGTAGATGGTCTTGTCTGTATTGATTGGAACCCTCATCTGCCTTCTCGTCCTACCAAAGGGGGTGATAAGGGTTAAAGAACTGCCCCTCCCCCTCCAACCCACATTCCTCCCTGGCCATCTCTCACAGCAGGGTTGTCCCCTGGGGCAAGGACAGGGCTTGGAGGGGTGGTGTGCCTTCAGCCCTGCAGGAAGTACCAGGCCAGAGAACTGGCACTGGGGCAGGCCTGGCTGCAGGGAAAGATTTGCCAGGGGAAGGCCCCCAGGGTGCAATGGCCCTGGCGTGTGCCACCAGGGTGAGCAGAGGGTGGCCCTCCAGAGAGGAGTGGGAGGGGTCTGTGGTCGGGACCTCCCCTGGATGGGGGTAGAGACCTGTACCCCGCACCTCCCCCTCCACCAGCCTGGCCTCGCTTCCGCAAAAGTGCCTCCAGGCTTGGATGAGTGGAGCTTGGGGCTCCCTGCCTTCTTGGAAGGCTCCCCCGCCCCCCACCCCCCCACCTTCTCCCTTCAACCCACAACGGAGAGTGGAAGCCCAGCAGGCTTTGGCAGTGAGAAGACCTCACAGTAGGGGCTTCACCCCTAGAGCCCCCGCGGGCACTGACCGCCACCCTGTGCCCCTCCCGCAGGATGCTGGTAGACTGCGTGCCCCTGGTGGAGGTGGAAGACATGATGATCATGGGCAAGAAGCCCGACCCCAAGTGCGTCTTCACCTATGTCCAGTCGCTCTACAACCACCTGCGGCGCCACGAGCTGCGCCTGCGCGGCAAGAATGTCTAGCC